CTGTGTATGAAAATATTCTTGTTCAGACACAGGAGGAAGAATCACATGTGAAAGGACAAGGCGGTAGGAAAGGAACTCAGAGATCACCAAGCCCTCAGCATCCCAGGGGCTGAACGCACGCGCTCACGCGCTCACGCATGCACGCACATGCCCCCTTCCCAAGCTCCAGCTTTGGGACCACCATCCCCTCTGGCTGACATGCTTTCCATCTCTTCCTGGCTTACCCTGACCAGTGTCTCCAAAATACAGTCCTCTCTGATGTCTGTCTCCTGGGGCCCAGGCCTTCCCTCCAGTCTCCCAGCACAACTGGGACTATTTAGCCCATGCTCCTCGGAGGCAAGAGCCACACCTGCCTTAGTCACGGGGGACAGTTACCTCTGGCGTAGCGCCTGGTGTGCAGCATGTGGAACCTGGGACTGATAAACAAAAGAAGTTGGCTTATTAACGAAGCCATCGGGGCTGGGGGTGCAGTTCTGTTAGGAAGGAGGCCACCGGCATGCACAAAAGCTCTAGGTTTGGGCTGGAGAGATGTCTAGGTGGTTAAGAGCACTGGCTGCTTTTCCAGAGGACCTGCATTTAGGTCCCAGCAGCCACATGGTTGCTCACAACCATCTGTAACTCCAGTTCCGGGCAAATCTGCTGCCCTCTGCTCCCCGTGAAGGCCGTGGCATACATGTGGCGCGCTCTCGACAGCCTGTGTGGCTGTGCCCCCTGACTGCTGGGGCTGCAGCTGTGTCCCCAACCCCTCCTTTCTTCTTCCTATTCCCGCAAGCAGGAGCGGCAGAGGGTAGTTAAGTGACATGTACACTGGGTGACACTGGTTCCCAAGGCCTTCTGTTTACTGCAGTGGGTTGTGAAACAGCTGCCTGTGGGGACCTGCCGGTCAGATCCTTGGAGGCCGTGCTCGCGCCAAAAGCACCTGTGACTACAGGTACAGCTGCAGGAGGCAAAGGTTTCAGAGAAAACCTGTTTGGTTTGCACCACCTTAAGCCTGCTGAGGATGTGTTAGGATAGTCAGAGAGTCGGGGTGTCTAGCGAGGCATGTGCTGGGTGGTCTCGGGAATGTTCCCTGGAGAAAACCACAGGACAAAGCAGCAAATGCAGACAGCGGTGTAGACGCCACCTTCTAAAAGGTGTCTTTTGTAGAGGCTGGGGGATGTGGCTCAGTGGCAAAGTATTTGCTTAGCATGGACAAGACCCAGAGTTTGGTTTGTAACACAGCAAAAATAATACACGTCACACAGACGTTTTAAACTCATTTTGGATTTGGAGGCAGTGGAAGACAGAACAGAGGGTCCCCCAGAGACCCTTCACCCGCTTCCCTATCATGCGTATCTTACAGGGAGAACCGTGGCATAGTCATAAAAGCCATGGAATGACTGCTGGCCTAGCCCTCTTCATTAGTGAGTTCCTTCCAGCGGCCTGCGGTTTCCAGGCTACGCGAGCAGATCCAGGTGGCCATGTGTGTCTGGCCTTTGCATCTCCGTCTTTTTTTGTCACATCCTTATCTTTTGAAGGGCGTGGCTAAGTATTGCATCTATCTATCTATCTATCATCTATCTATCTATCATCTATCTATCTGTCTGTCTGTCTGTCTGTCTATCTATCTTATTATTTTAAGGGCAGGGTCTTGTGTAGCCCAGGCTGGCTTCAAACTCACTCTGTAGCCAAGGATGTCTTTGAACTCCTGATCCTCCTGAGCTTCCTGCCTCCATCTCCTGTGCTGCCGAACCAGGCTGAGTCAGGTATTTCGTGTAGGTTCAGTATAGTTGTGATAGTCTACTAGGGTGAGTGACTTGGCCTAGGATGCAGAGCAGAAGTGGGAAAGTACAGCCTGTGGAACAAGCCCAAACTACTATCTGCTTTGTACAGTCTACAGGCTAACATTTAAACATATTTTTTAAAAATTTTTTAATGGTTGAAAAACATTAAGAGGGAAAATGATGTCATATGGGGGGGGCATAGAGTCCAAATTCTGGCAACTGTAACTAAGGCTGGGCTGGTTCACTGGCATGGCCACTCTTTTCTGCAATGTCCAAGTTTGCCCTACAACCTAAGGCCTGAGGATCTAAGACAGAGGCCGTTGGGCTTGAAGAACTCAGTATTTACCCTAGATCCCATTGAAGAATGGTGGAGGGTTAGGAAGGCCTGGCGATTCACTTCAACTCAAAAGCTACTTACAGGAGAACGGGAGAAGTAGGTAAGGGTGGTGCCACTGACTGTGATCCCAGCACTTGGTAGGTACAGTGTTGTCCCATTTTCCTCTAACACAAAACCACCATCTTGGAGGGAAGTCCGCTAAGACACAGGATGTTCCAAAGGGAGGTGAGACTTTCCATCAATCCTGCACCGATTGAGGAAGGCTAAGGAAGAAAACAACTCAGAGGCTTTTTAGCTTTTTAGCAAGTCCCTGAAACTGATCAGATTCACTAGGCCCTACTCCCCAAGCATAGGAGCAAGGCCTGCTGAGGAAAACGCTCAGCCAAACGGGGCTGGATGAAGGAGGTTTAGACCACCGTAGCTGCCTTGAAGAGATGCTATCCAGCCTGACCAGCTGCAGGCTGTGCAGCAGGCTTTAGCTTTTGTGAGCTGTCGCCTGAGGTGGCGTGGGCTTTGGCACTGTAGCCATCTTTGAGGCATTTCTATCCCTGTAAGGAACCCCTTACCCATACTCCTGTAATTAACCCAACAAAACCCACTGGTTCACCAAGTTAGACTCTGGTGTTTTCCTGATTTTGGTCTCTCTGGGCTGAGATGTTTCCTCTCATCTCCCCAGAAGTAGCGTTACAGGATAGACAGACAGCAGGATCAGAAGTTCAAGGTCATCCTCAGGTACAGTTCAAGTTAGAAGCCATCCTTAGCTACATCAAAGTCTACCTGAAAGCTGAAGATAAATAAATAATAAAGGCATGGCGGCACATGCTTTTACTTCCAGCACTTCAGAGGCAGAGGCAGGCAGATCTCTGTGAGTTCGAGGGCAAGGCGGTCTACAGAGTGAGTCCCAGGACAGCCAGGGCTACACAAGGGGAATCTGTCTCGAAAAAAAATAAATTCTTTAAAATAAAATAAAAATAAAGGACATTAAGTTTCAGGTGCACTCAAAGTTTCAGGTGCTCTGCAAATATTGAAGAGCCAAGCTTTGACCTAGCAGAGACCCCCCTCTAAGGGATATGTCATGATGTTCAAACCCGGTCCCAGGAAAAGTGAGGTCTTGTCAGGCAACTTCTCAGTTCTTTGGTTCAGTCTCTGCCTGGGATGATAATAGCTGCTGTCGTTCTGGGAGTGACACCCTGTGCCAGGAACGCTTTCCTTGTTTCAGTCTCTTCTAATCCTCGCAACCTCCCCAGGAGCTATTCCTCGAGGACACTGGGGTTTGAGGGCTTAGCCACACCCCAGGGTACACAGGTAGAGCATGGAGAGGAGGGGTGGGCACCGGGGAGGAGGGGTGGTTCTGGAAGCCCACTTAACTACTGTGGTGTTTGAGTCCACAGTCTCATAGCAACACACAGTCTGCTAGCCAGAAGCCTCATTTTTCTTTCTTTCCCTTCTTCTTGTTGGGGGTGGGGTAGGATGGCAGTGTTTCGAGACAAGGCTTCTCTGTGTCGCCCTGGCTGCCCTGGAACGTCTGTCCTGTTCTGTCAACCAGGCTCCAGCTCACAGAGATCTGCCCGCCTCTGCCTCCCAAGTGCTGGGAGTAAAGGCGTGCGCTATCACCGCCATCGCCGCCTGGCTGAAGCCTGCTTGTTCAAAGGAACATTCTGGTAAGTTTTTTGGTGTTCAGGATTGTGTCCGTTGAACTCTATGCACAAGCTCTGTGACGGTCTTCCATCCCTTTGCCATTCCTTGTGGCTTTCTGAGGAACTTTGGCATCCCCATGCAGAAGAGTCCGAGCCACTCTGCACTGTCCCCAGCCCTAGGACCTGTGGGCCAGGATGCCTACGCTGGTGCTGGTGCTGGTCTGTTCTTGCCTTTCCTCAAGTGCCCTGAGATGCTGACTGACCCTACCTTGGTCAAGTATGTGGAGAGACCGCGAAATCAAGTCACCTGCTGCGAGTGTCCCCAGGTAGGGAAGCCTCTTGGCCAGGCTGGGACAGGAAGAGCAGGGCAACGCAATCAGTTCTGCTCTTCTCCCTGGGCCTGGGCCTTCCTGCTGTCTGGCTGGATGAGCATGGTGAGATCACCCCAGATTGTTTCTGGTGGTAACACCAGCCCTGGTGGGTTCACGTGACAGTGACAGTTTTACTCGCAGTAACCATTGCGTTCTATGTAGCCAGGAACTTCGAAGTGACAGGTACCAGACCTGATAAAGGAACCCTGCCTGGTGTCTAGGCTGTGCCTAGTTCCAGTTTTATTTTTAAGAGAACATGTTATTTGCGAGTTCCCTGTTCTCTAAAATGTCCCCATGAACTTTTTAACGAGCCTGGTAATATGTCGCCTCGGCCCTTAGCAGCTACACAATCAACTCAGAAAGCTTGTGTTTCTCTTGCATGGTTTCTTTCTTTTCTTTTCTTTCTTTCTTTTTATAAAGAACGAAGTGTAAAACAGGTGGTAAAGCCCTAGTGACACTCTCGGACAAGCGGGTGCCTGCAGAACCTCGGCTCCCGCTGCCTGCTGAAGGGTTGCCTCGACACATGGTTCTGTTCCTCATTCCAGATGGTTCCAGAGACTCTCAGCGTGCCAAGCCTGCAAGTGCACACCCATGAGGGGGGCTCGGTGCGAGTGCACACGTGTGGTGCCGGTTCTCTCACACGATATAGGAGAAAGGCTCTTTAAGAGGATCAGAAGTGTTTTCTTGGGGATGGAGAGATGGCTCAGTAGGTAAGAGCACTGGCTGCTCTTCCAGAGGACCCCGGTTCGATTCCCAGCACCCACATGGCAGCTCACAAATGTCTGTAACTCTAGTTCCAGGGGATCTGACGCCATCACACAGACATACATTGCAGACAAAATACCAAAGCACATAAAATAAGAAGAAAGAATTTAAAAAAAGTTTAATCCTCCACCCCATCCCCCAAAAAAAGAACCATTTTCTTAATGTTGTTGTCTGGGAAGGCTCTGGCGGGGGAGGGCAGGTATGCTGGACCGTGATGGACGGGTATCGCTGGGCACGCTTGCTGGAACGAGACCTCAGACCTGAGGGCAAAGCTCTAAAACTCTAACGCAGACCACAGCTTTCACTTGTAGCACAGTGCGGGAACCACACGTTGCTGTGACCTGGAGGTGTCCTCTAATGGCCCTGCTCCTGCCCCTGCGCGCACTGCAGCCCGGCGGACCGTGAGGTGGTGGGGCCGCACTTGTCATTTGCACCAAAAAGGGGCAGCGCTGTGTGGCTTCTGGGACCCAGGCTGTTTCTGCATTTCCTTTGGCAGTTGCCAGCGGTGATGCTTGCTGTGACAGCCACACACGGGTGGGTGTTTTGCCAAGAAAGAAGAGAGTGTGGCACTCCCAGGAGCCCCGGACACCTCCTCCCAGCAGCAGGGGCCGATGGTACAGGCAGCACTCCAGGGGAAGGGCATGAGTGGCTGTCTAGGACTGCCATGGAGTGGACATGTCATGAGGAAGGCCTGCCACTGGCTGAGGCCCCTCAGGCTGCCTGGCCTGTTCTCGCCTCCACCTGCTCTTCTCTTTCACAGACAGTACAATGCCTAGCTTTGTGAAGTTTACTTTTAATGTCTAAGTGCTCTGAGGATTGGGGGTGGGGTGGGCACGGGCAGAAAAGAGGAACACCTCTTGGCAAATTGGCAAGCGTACACACACACACACGTACACACACACACACACACACACACACACACACACACACAGAGAGAGAGAGCTTTGTGCTGCCAGCCTTCTTCAGGACTTCACTGAGAAAACTGTCCAGAACCGTCATTAAAGGATAAGCCAAGAATTTCAGTCGCGAATATTTCTGCAGTGATTTCGTCTGGAAGTTCTTCTTCGAGGCAGAGTTCTGGTTCTAGACGGGCAAGAAGAGAAAACCAAATGCCTTTCCAGTGATGAGGCTCCTCATCACAGGGAGCCCTCAAAAAACCCAAGGGAATGACACGGAACCAAAGTGGGAGGGGGCTGGAGAGAAGGCTCAGCAGTTGAGACTGGCTGCTCTTCTGAAGGACATGGGTTGATTCTCAGCACCAGTGCGGTGGCCCACAACCACCTGTAACTCCAGTTGCAGGGGATCCAGTGCTCTCTTCTGACCTCTCTGGGCACCAAGCATGCACAATGGTACACAGACATACGCACAGGCAAAACACCCATCCACATAAAACAAGACCCTTGAAAGAAAGGGGGTTGAGTAGGCAGCAGTACTCTGTGCTAAGGGGCACCCTTGGCTCTTCAAATCAGTTCGTTATGAAGTAGAGTCCTATTAACCAATGTCCTGACAAACCTGGCTAGACAGTAAAAGGAAGAGGTGGCAGGGAGACAGGCCAGGAATCTTTGCTTCCATAGTCTTGGGAGCTGTGGCTCCTGACCACCACCTACCCTGAGCTTGTTGGTAGAGATTTTCTGGCCTGAGCAAGCCTGGAAGAGCTGTTTGAACTGGCTCTTCCTGAGTGTAAACTCACAACAGTAACATCTGTTACTGACAACTGGCTAAGAAGAGGTGCGGCATTCCTGGGGTACAGCAAGAAGAGAAGCTTTCTTTGGTGCTGGGGATAGCATGTGAGGAAGCCCTCCACCATCGCATACCCCAAGGCTAGGATGATCTCAGAGAACGTGAAGCTGGGCGTGTCTTGAAGGATAAAGAGCTTGCCACACAATTGAGAATAGAGTTCAGATTTCCAGAACCCACGCAGAAGCCCAGCAATGGAGGAGGCTTCTTCTGAGAGCTCAACAGGCAGACATGGGCTAGCTGAGCAGATTTGCCGTACGTGAAGAGTTCCAGACTTAGTGAGACCCTGTCTTCACGAATATAGTAAAATGATCAAGGAAGACACATGGTGTCACTTCTGGCCTCCACATCCACACACAGACACATAGGCATGCATATACATTCAAGAGCATACACATGCATGGCATGCCCATGTTCACATGCAAATAAATAACCAAAGAAAGGAACTAGAAAGGTGGGTGAGATGGCTCAGCGGGTGAAATCGTTTGTCACCCAGTCTGAAGACCTGGGTTCTAGCATCAGGACATACATGATGAAAGGAGAGAAGTAACTACACACTCAAGCACATACAAAGAGAGAGAGAAAATCAAAGACATAAAAGAAAACTTCTAAGAAAAAGACATGGAAGCCAGATATGGTAGCATACACCTGTAATCCCAGCACTTGGGAGGTAGAGGCAGGAAGATCAGGAGTCCAAGGCCAGCCTAAGCTACATAAAAAGACAATCTCAAAGCAAAAAAACAAAAACAAAAACAAAACAAAGCAAACAAACAAACAAACAAACAAAAAAGTGCCAGGCATTGTGAGTTTGAAGCCAGATTTGAACTACATAGTGAGTTCTAGGCCAGTCAAGGCTATATACTGAGAGTTTATTTCAGAAAGAAAGAAAGGGAGAGAGAGAGAGAGAGAGAGAGAGAAAGAGAGAAAGAGAGAAAGAAAGAAAGAAAGAAAGAAAGAAAGAAAGAAAGAAAGAAAGAAAGAAAGAAAGAAAGGGAAAATTCTAGAAGGAGAGGAGAGGGGGGACAGGGAATGAGATATAGAAAGACTTACAAGTTCTGGCAGCTTGGAGCTGAGTTTGTAAACCTACCCAGTTGTCACGTCTCTCTCCAGCTGCCCCATGGTCCCTCCCCTCCAGGAGTGGCCCATGCTGGCAAGATACAGAATGGCCCATTGGAATAAAGAAGGGAACAAGATCGGAAGACACTACAGGACAGGCAGAGCGGGGACCAGTGCTCTCATCTGGCAAGCGGCCACAGCTCGCTTGCTCCGTCATCACTTATGCATGGGATTCCCGGCAGGCCGATTCTGTTGTGTGTAGGGTCCAAAGAGAGTGGTTTGCATTGTTTGGGAGAAACAAACACGCTTAAGTCCTACACCAAACTATCGAGTGGTGGCTACAAGCCCAGACAAAGGCCAAGTACCTCTGTGGGAGGTGGCTGCAGGCTCCGATTTCCATCCTTCGGGATTCAGGCCAAACAGCGTCGCAAAACAGTCATACATCTCTTCCTCTGTCATGTGCTCACCTGGGCATTGGAGTGGAAAAGGAGTCTGGTTAACTCTGGGGCTCCCACTAACTTCAGGCTGAGGGTCAGTAGAAGGTCTTTTGTTTGTTTGTTTTGAGGCTGGGGCTCATGTGTCACAGCCTGGCCTCAAGCTCAACTACAAAGCTGAGGATGACCTTTGAACTCCCAATCCTCTTGCCTCCGCCTCCCAAGTGCTAGGATTACAGATTTAGGCTACCGGGTCTGGTCTGTGCATTGCTGAAGAGATAACCCAGGGCTCTGAGCATGCTGGGCAGCTAGCTGTGTCTAGGGCCCAAACTGGGAAATTTTGGTCTTCCGTGCTCTATTTCCCATATGCTGTGATGGCAGCTGTGTCTCACCACATCTAGTCAGAGACATTTTTTATTTCATGTTTATTTATTATTTGCTTGTTTAGTGTGTGTGTGAGTGTGTGTGTGTGTGTGTGTGTGTGTGTGTGTGTGTGTTGGGAGGTTAAAGGACAACTTCTGGGGGTTCTCTCCTGCCACTAGGTGGGTGTTAGAAACTGACCTTTGGTCCTCAGCCTTAGCAGTAAGTACATTCACTCCACGAGCCATCTCACTGGCCCATAGCCAGAGAGCTTAAAAAAAAAAAAAAAGTAATCTACCACTTTTTGTGATGATCTCCCGAGGCCTATTCTGTCACCATACCTCCTTACATGGCGTTACAAAGCTAGGGAGAAGATGCTGGGGCTTGTGGAAAGACGCAGGGCATCTCTGCAGTGAGGAGTTTACGGGCTCCAGTTTATTTCAAGCTTCCTTTTCTAATGCCATGCTAGTTTAAATTAAAAAAAAAAAAAGTCCCCCCCCCCACCTGTCAGATATGTAAGACAATGCAAGGCACAATGCAAGGCTCAAGCCAGGTCCTCTTCCTAGTCAGTCATTCGAGGCCTGGTTGCACCAAAGAGGACTCCAAAGTAGGAGTAGGAATTCACGGGTAGGAATAAACGGCCACGGCAGTGTGGATGGACATCACAAGCCCATCCTGACCTCATTCTAGCCCAAGGAGATTGATAAGCTGGCAAACACCTCCCCATTTTTGGAGCCAAGCTGGGTGTGTCAGCGTGCACCTCTGAGCACCCAGGGAGGCTGAGGCAGGAGGATGGAGAACACCATAGCTCAGGGCCAGTCTGGGCTACACAACAGAACAAAGCGAGCGTGCTGGGGCTCACAGTCTCGGGAAGCTGAGCGGCACAAAGCACATTTCTTTAAGTAAATTTTTTTGTTTTGCATTTTTATTGATTTGTTTTGTGGGTGGCAGGAGGGAGCATGTGCCGTGGCTGGTACTTGGAGGCCAGAGTACAGCTTCCACCACGTGAGTCCCGGGAGTTGAACTCAGGTCACTGGGGTGGCAAACACCTTCACCCCGTCTTACTGGCCCATGAACCACGTTTCAGGGACCTTGTCATATACGCAAAACAGGACAAGGAGACCCTGAGGCTGAAGCCCTGTCACATGACTGGTCACTGTTTCAGATGGAGATCCCGATGGCTCCGCCCACCCTAACGAGGCTCTTTCTTCTGGGAATGGCCAAGGATGCTACAGGGTGTCCTTGCTCAGGGTTTACCTTTGGTGAGGAGCAGGTTCAGGAAGTCCTCTCTCCGAATGGCCTTTTTCCCTTCGGAATTGGTGAAACCGAGCACGTCAAAGCTTTCCTGAATGCTCATCATGTTGGTGCCAAATGGCGGCCTGTGGTTAAGATAAACTTTGAGGAAATCCGGCAAGTTGATTTTGTCGATCAGGTTCCCGGTGGTCACATATTCGCTAAACTTGATCTCATTAAGCATGTCATCAATCTAGAGAAGAGATCAGAAGATAAAATAAAGGCTACGGTCAACATAAAAAAAAAAAAATAACACTTGGTTTTAAAAATTAAAAATGAAGCTTGGTTATGCCACTTGTGGAAAGTGGGAAGGGGACCTGTGTTTGCGGTTTGTGCCGTGTGCCCCACCACCACCAGGAAGGATGCTGAAGTCCTAACCTAGGGACCTTATTAGAAATGGGGTCACTGCAGATGCAGTTATAAAACGAGGCCACGCTGGAGTAGGGCGGCTTTCAATCCGATATGTCTATCGTTACAGCATTGCAGCCTGCAGCTGAACAGAGGCTTCCACCGTCCGTGTGCACCCGTGCCCCTGTGGGCAGGAAACACAGCGCAGGTGGCAGCGTGTAGGAGGAGCTGAAAATGAGTCAACCTGACAGCCGTCACCCGGAGCACATGGCCCTGCTGACGCTGGCTTTGCGTTCTGTTGGAGGACAAAGTTTTGCTGCTTTAGAGCATGCTAAGGGCTGGATCCGGTGCTTAGATTGAGATAAAATGAATGAACAAATAAATTATTTTTTTTAAAGGCTTACTTTTTAAAATCCCGTCTATGCGTGTGTGCCTCTCTGTACATGTGTGAGCATAGATCTCAGTGTAAGCCAGGAGAGGAGCTGGAGTCGCAGATGGTTGTAAGCCACCTGAAGTGTGGGTGCAGCTGGTCTTCTGCAAGAACAGCAAGCGCTCTAAACCCCCGAGACATCGCTCCAGCCCTGACTTCTTTTAAGCCACACAGTCTGCAGCGTCTTGTCCCAACCTGATGGTGTCACGCTGGCCATACCATGCAGGCTGTCACGTTTGCCATTCTACTGTGTCACTTTTCACACCGTGTCAGCCAACTTCCTCACCCTGAGACATACGCATTAGTTTGTTTTAAAGGCAGCATCTAGCCAGGCATTGGCGGCACACCCTGTTTCCTCGTGGCCGGGAAACAGAGGCAGCAGTGCTGCCTTGAATTCAAAGCTAGTTGGTGCCTCCATAGCAGATTCTAAGTTAGCCAGGGCTAGATACTGAGATGCTGTTTCAACAAACAGAAAGTACTTTCCAGCCAGGCGGTGGTGGCTCATGCCTTGAAGCCCAATACGTGGAAGGCACAGGCAGGCAGATCTCTGACTAAGTATATACTTCAATGAGAAACTCAAATATGTGACTTATGCCCTAGTAGATTTTTTTTAATTTTTGTTTTGTTTTGTTGAGACAGGGTTGCTCTATATAGCCCTGGCTTTCTTGGACTCGCTTTGTAGACCAGGCTGGCCCGGAACTCACAGAGATCCACCTGCCTCTGCCTCTGCTGGGATTACAGGCGTGCGCCACCAAGGCCAGCTTAAATTAATTTTTAAAGTTAGTATACAGATAGCTGTGGTGGTGCGCACCTTTAGTTGCAGCACTTGGGGAACAAAGGCACGTGGACCTCTGTGAGTTTGAGGCCAGCCTGGTCTAAAAACAGTGGGTTTCAGGATAGCTTGAGCTGCATAGTGAGACCCTGTCTTAAAAGAGATTGAAAGAGAGAGAGAGTTCTAAGAAATTCACTAAAACCTATTAAGACCTACTAGAACTGGTAAAAAGTTTCAGGGTACGATGTCAATGTGTGAGAATCAGGACTGGAGAGATGGCAGCTAAGATGGGTGCCTGCTCTTGCAGAGGACGCAGGTAATGGCTCACAGCCATCCATTAATTCCAGCTCTCATGCCCTGTTCTGACCTCATCAGGTGCTGCGTGCACACAGCGCACATACATACATGCAGGTAAAGCCACATGCACACAGAAGCTCAATATATGTATGCAGGTGTACATGCGTGCCGCAGGGCACGTGAGAACAGAGAACATCCTGTAGGTTCCACATTTACCTGCGGAGCCACCTCACCAGCCCAGTTATTCCATTTCTAGTAACATCAAATTCAGTTAGGAATGCTTTTAACAACAACACCAACACCAACAAAGAGCTCTAAAAACTACAAAATAGCGTTGAAATTAAGAAAAACCTAAAGTCAGGGGCGGTGGCACACACCTTTAACCCCATTACTCGGGGAGGCATAGGCAGGCAGAGCTCTGTGAGTTCAAGACCAGCCTACTCTACAAAGCGAGTCCAATACAGCCAAGACTACACAGAAAAACTGAACTAAGCTAAATTAATAGAGAGGTTTCCTAATTTGGAGCTTGGAAGACTTAATACTGCAAAGCTGACTAGCCCTCCAGCCTGACTCCTGGTCCCTTGTCTGCATGTGCTAGGCCCGGAGCACCACTGGGAAACAACTGAAAGAAATCCCTAATCCCAGCAGACTTTTTGTTATTGTGGAAACTGACGAGCAGATTCTGAAATGAATACTGCAGGAATTGACAAAACAGTATAAAGAGAGTAGACTAAATTGTAGAGAGAGAAAAAAAAATGGATCTGAGCTTAAAAACTCACACTCCCTGCCTCTCGGTGTCAAAACTTTACTGCCGTCCCACGGTGGTCAGCAGGGGGCTCTGGCATAATGGCAGACATGCAGCACGCTTGAAGGGAACCTGGAGCACAGGAAGAGGACTCGAGATGTGGCTCAGTGGTTACAAGCAGTGGCTACTCTTGCAGAGGACCTGGATTCTGTTCCAGCATCCACATTTGGCAGCTACAATCACCTGCCATTCCAGACCCAGGGGATCCGATGCCTCCTTCTGGCCTCGGTGACACCCCCCCCCCCACCGCCCCAACATACACACACACCATTGTGCAAATATGGAAGCCTGGTGACAACTTGTTCATGTTAAGTCCCTGCTTCTACCATGTGGCTCCTGGACATTGAACTTAGGTCATCAGGCTTGCCAGCAAGCACCTATACCCACTGAGCCAGATATGTGTATATATATATATATATATATATATTTTTAATCAATTTTATTTTTTAAATTATTCTATTTTTGAGACAGCCTCCCTGAGTAGTCTTGGATGGCCCAGAATTCACTAGGTAGACCAGGCTGACCTAAAACTCACAGAGATCCACCTGCTTCTGCCTCCAGAATGCTGAGAGTAAAGATATAGGCCACCATGTCCGATTTAGCTTTTATTTCTGCTGACCTAACTTGCAATCCAACTGCCTCAAGACAGTCACTCATTTTTTTTTTTTAAGACACCACACTCCTTTAAAGAGGAAAATCAGCAGCAGCTCTCTGTTTCCTCGGGTGCCACTTTCCTGAAGCACCATGGACTTCGATGCTGCGTGGAAACGCTGTCTGAAAATTCCATTTCTTGCTACCTCACTGGCTTATTCCGGTTTTGTTACTCAGGCATGTGTCTCTAAGCCAGGGATTATTTGCTTTCACTTTAAAGATACTTAAGAATGAGATGGTTTGAAACCTGTTGCTCTCAGGCTGTTCCCTGCAGCGGTAGGGCCTGCTGGGGCCTTCGCTTTCATTCTTCCCCTGTGGAATTTTGCTGCATAAATACATGTGTCAGATTGGAGGAAAAGAGAAGGTGTGACCATTCTTCCCCCTATGTGTGAAAGAGAACTGTTAGATGCTGGCAGCCTGAGCTCTTGGGAAATAGCATTGTTGGTTACGGGGAACTGTGACTGAAACTGTGTGCACGCTGTGTGTGAGGACACTCTTCGTAGTTAGCATCTGCACAGTTAGCATTTACACTTGACACAATTGTACAACTGTGCATTAGATTATATGTGAATTTTATGTATATTAAAAATTGTTATATTAACATGTTATGCTGTATAATTTTAATATTACAAGGCAAAAGATGTATACTATATAAAGAGAAACTTTTAACTTTAAGAGCTTTAAAAACTGGTTTATTTTTAGTGTATGTGTAGGAACGCTTGCTCGAGTTATGTAAGTGTGCCACGTATGTGCCCGGTGCCTGAGGGGACCAGAATGGGGTGTCAGAGCCCCTGGAACTGTAGTTACTGATGGCTATGAGCCACGCGTGGGTCCTGGGAACGGAGCCTGTCCTCCGCAAGAGCAGCCACTTCTGTCTTCCATCCAGGTTTAAGAGCTGTGACCCTGTCGGAACTGCAGAGCTGCTCGGTGGCTAAGCGCATGGGCTGCTCTTGCAGAGGACCCAGGCTGGATTCCTGCCACCCAAGTGTAACTCAGGTTCCAGGGGTTCTAATACCCTTTTCCAGGCTCTGTGGGCAGCAGGCACATGGGGGGCGGGGGGTACAACACACATGTATGTAAAACACCTATACACACAAATATTTTTAAAATGATAAAATGTAAAGATGTCGATAATTTAATACTGTTAAGCTATACACGCACCACTACTTGGTAGACAGTGAGGTGATCATGTCAGATAGCAGATATATCTTCAAATTCTTTGTTGTCTTTTTGTTTTCTCTGTGTAGCCCTGCTGTCCTGGAACTCGCTCTGCTGCCCTCAACTCAGAGATCCACCTTCCTCTGCCTCCCACGCTAGGATTAGAGGTGCATGCCACCACCATCTGGCCTACCTTCAGATTCTTTTTTATTTTTAGTTTTACTTTGTGAACATTGGTGTTTGCCTGACTGCATGTCTGTGTGAGGGGGTCGGATCCCCTAGAGCAGGAGTTACAGTTGTGAGCTGCCATGTGGGTGCTGGGAATGGAACCTGGGTCCTCTGGAAGAGCAGCGAGTGGTCTTAACTGCTGAGCCATCTCTCCAGCCCGCTATCTTCAAATTCTAACACTGCTATTTTCTGTGTATGGGACCTTCAGTGTGCTATTCAATATTCCTTCTCTTCGACTTCTTGAGAGAGGGGAGCAAAGTAAAACACATATGCACTGGGCTGGGGTTTGCCTTGTTTAGGCTGGGTGGTGTTGTTGCGAGTCTCAGGCAGCTGGTGTTGGCCTCAAACCTGCTATGCAGCTGAGGATGACCTTGAACTTGTGATCTCATAGACCTGTGCCGGCATGCCTGGCTTACATGGTGCTGCGGATAGAATCCAGGCCTTCCTGAATGCTATGTAAGTATTCTGCCATCTCAGCTGCATGCCCAGCCTGCAGTTGGTTGT